GGCAAGGAAACTTCGACTCTAGTTTTATACTCGTTATTTTTTTGAAAATCTATGTGAGTTTCACAAAAATACTAAGTATTTAGATAGCATTTACTTAATGACACTCGTTTGTTTTTTTGATCAGACTGATGTTGACAATCAGTGTTTCTATTTAGAACAATGGCGAACTTTACACTTGCAATACTCAAAATTTAGCTAAATTTTGCGATGCAAGATGCTAAATATAGTGTTAGATCTCAGAAGACAGATTTCTGAGTAGTCTTTGGCTCTATGCTATTTTTTAATTAGTTATTACTAACACGATTTTCAAGAAAGTAGCGTTAGCTTGGTAGATTTGAAAGGATTTTCTACTCTAAAAAACAAGAAGATTCCATATGAACCACACGTGGTTCATGTGCGCCACAAAAGTTAAAAAGATATTTCGCACATGGAACGGTACTTAAAAAAGGTTTCGTTGCAAAAACGGTTCACATAAAATCAAGTTTTTCTCAGTACAGATTTTGCACTAATTAAAAACGAAATGGAGTTTCTTTAATTCTATCGAAGGGTGTGGGTGGGGTTGTATGTATGAGGATAGGTGTAGACGACAGGAATATCTACACACACACACACACACACACACACTTAAACCAAGCACAGAAGCACCTCGATGTATTTTTTTCTATTCAGTTCAAATAGTATATTGTAGAATGCACATCATTTCGAAGAAAATAGCGAGTTTAAGTCTTAAGTCGAAGCTTTCTGCATCTTGCTTTCCATTACTGATCTTGCTAAGTAATCGTATATTGTAGCTTATCAAAACTATGTGAGTTCCACATTGCAGCTCGAAAGGGCTGTGCTAACAAGCCTTTTGCGCATGTGTAATAATGCAAATAAAAACAAATCTCCAGCAATTTCTGGGATTGCACATATTTTGAGAAATTATGCATATACTATATCTCCTCTTTGAATTGGGTGTGTGCCGATGTGAGCATTCCTGTTATGCACAACCACGCTCACATCCACTCAAACAAACAAAAAGTATCTCATACGTTCAATCACGATCGAACTGGCACATCGTTATGCGTAGTAATGGTAGAAAATCATAGCTACGCCTAACTGCACCGCACTTCCTCAAAGACATGACAGAGGTCAGCTTTTAATATTACTAATGTTTTTATTGCGAATTATTGAAAATTCAAAAAAATATTGGAGTGATAGAAAAACAAACAATAGAAAATTTTAATAAATTAAGAAAAAATATAGATATAAATGAAAAATACTAAAACAAATACAACAAAATAAGTAAAACAAGAACAGAAAAATAAAAACATTAAAAAACTAAAGGAGAAAGAAAAACTGAAAAATAAACATATGGAAAAATTGAAAAAATACTAACAAGTATAAAAATTAATAAATGTGGAAACATCGGGTTTAAATCCGAGTGTTATGTGTACTTCAAAAAGTGAACTGGACAGATGAGTCATCCTAGCACGTGTAGGCATCAAAATTATCCTAGCGAGCCCCTTCTATTAAAACTTGATTTGTATCGGTTACTGCTCAACCAATAGGGTTTTGGAGCAAATATAGCTCAGATTTAAACTCTTCTTCCTGAATTACCCTCAGAAAGTAGTTTTTCCTAAAACTTGATTTCTATTGGTTACTGCTCAACCAATAGGATTTCGAGACAAGTGGAGCTCAGATTCGAGTTCTTCGCCCTAGAAAACCTCGAACTATCATCTCTGTGATCGGAAGATGGAGCTTTACTTTTCGATCAAT